ATGATATAATTATGTAATAAATATATAAAATATATAATTGTATAATAATAAATACATATAATTGTATATTTTAATAAATATATAATTACTTATATATACAATGTTATATGTAATTATTTATGTATGTCATCTATAATTATATATAATATAAATATATTGTATATAAATATATCATAATATATAATATATTAAAAGTACATGTACATACTATATTATGTATATACTTTATCTCTCTTCCTCCTAAATTCATATTATAAATTCACATTACATATTATATATAATATATAATAAAGTATATTGTATAAAATATGTATATATAAAATTTTGTAATATTATATTTGAAATACTTATATATAAAATAATAGGTATACATATAAAGCACATGTATATAATATTTTATGTATATATATGTATTATTTTCCTTTGCTCTCCTTGAACTGCTTCATGAAAGGGACAGTATTTTCTGAACAGATCCAAGTTGATTTGCTAACCCAACAAACATTTTTAAAAATGGGATTTTTCCTTAGGATAGGATTAGAGAGGACAGGATTGAAAGGGGAAATTGTAATTTTTTTATTGTTTAGCTGGGTTCAGTAGGACTTGGGAATGACACCAAGAAGGGAATCTTGTTAACTTTCTTTAGCAACATTATCCAGCTTTAGTCCTGAAAACTGGCTTATTTTCATGCAAAGGCCAGTGTGGATGGACCGGCATTCTCTTGTGTTCTGGGCAGAAATCTGTCCCAAATAGAAATACTATTTGAAACAAAACCAAATGTCAGTGTTTTCGTGGGTTCACACCCAGGTATTCTCTGCACACACTACACTGTATCAGCCACAACATCTCAGTTTAGAGAGACTACCTGAATCCACTTGGCAAAGGCAATGGATGTTGTAAAAGGCAGGAAATAACTGAGAGAAAGGAAGCATGGCCAGCATATCAGCTAGGATTCTTTACAGAAAAACCTAACTCAGACAATAAAGTCTCATGAAACTGAAACATCTAAGTGAAGCATGACCCAGATACTCAAACAGCATGGTCCAGGATCCACCCCTTGCTGGATGGCAGCAAAATGTTGATGGCAGTTCCAATTCACACATTCTAATTGTTCATAGGCCAGGAGAGGAGAAAGTCTTTTCCTTTAGCTCCCATACCAGTCCTCTGATTTAGTCCCTTGATTTTGCCCCTATTGGGTCATATGCTTCCTCTTAAACCACTCCCTGTGGCTAGGAGAGCATGATGTACTGAGGTAGCGGAAGCCAATCAAGGCTCTCCTCTGGCTATAGTGGTGGAGCTAGTCCCACCCACATCAAGTCATGAAGGATAGGGAAGGAACAGGTACCCCACAGGAAAATTAGAATCCTGTTGGTGGGAACGTTGGGAGTAAATACAGGACAACAAATTTCCATCACTATCAGTATTCCTCACCCATTTCATAAGACAACTTGGGGCCCCGTTATTTTATAAGAGACTATAGAGTATTATGTGCTAAGAAACAATCCAACCTTATTTCCTGTAAATGCAAAAATCAATCTGGAACAACCACTACTTAGAAGGCCAGACGCCAGTGCCTTTTATCAATCCTAGGTCTTCAGGAACAACTGTTGATCCCTTCTGAATCTGAACATTTTAGCCTGACACTGGGAAGTTGTAGCAGCTTGAATATATAAGCCTCAGGGTCTTGGGATGTCACAGTGTGGTAGGATCCAGCCTTAGGTGCAATTTGATTCAAGCCAGAAAGAGTTGCTCTTTTATCCCCAGCGCTTCCCCTGGGAGTCTGTCTAGAGGCTCCGCACCCAGTTAGTATGAAGGAAGGAGAGAGCACAAGTATAATAGGCAGCTCTCTCATTGGCATTTCTCGTCTGCCACTGGTACCTGGAGTAGAAGTAACCATAGTGATAATATTATTTAATGGGTATTGGGCGCTTGCTATGTACTGGGAAATGTTCTAAGCACTTTCTGCATATAATTCATGTAATCTTCACATCAACCCCATAAATAAGATACTGTTATTACCATCACCACTTGGCAGACTGAGGCTCAGCGAGGTAACAAAACCTGCCCAAGATATCATGCCCCTGGAGAGCAGCAACTCCGGCAATCCAGAGAACACACTCTTTACCACCATGCGGCAGTCTCCCTGCTTCCCATCTTTGGAAATTGAGATCCAAGAAGGAAGAATGAGTGACCCGAGCAAAAGAAATGAAACCCTAAAGGGGGACAGGTGTGCCTTCAAGTAATTCCCAGCCTTCTCTTTATCAGTTCTGTAGGCTGGGATGATGCTAAATCACACAGTATCATTTGAGTTAGGGATGTCTGTCCTTTTTCATGGGTAATACATCACCTCCCATAACAAGCCCTTTCCTGGCCCCTATTACTATCAGTTGGAAATTGGCAAGGAACACTGGACATTAAAGAAAAAATTTTAAAGCAATCTTGAAATTTCTGAATGAAGGCTCTGAAGAAACCCAACAAAGGGTTCTACTCCTGACCCAGATGGATGCAGTGACCGTGTACAGCTTGTCTATCAGAGCTTGAATGCAAAGGAGCCACTTCCCATACCAGCCAGTCTTTTTTTCTTTCCTTTTTTTTTTTTTTTTTGAAACAGAATCTTGCTCTGTTGCCCAGGCTGGGGTGCAGTAGCACAATCTTGGCTCACTACAACCTCCACCTCCTGGGTTCAAGTGATTCTCGTGCCTCAGCCTCCTGAGTAGCTGGGATTACAGGTGTGCATCACCGTGCCCAGCTAATTTTTGTATTTTTTAGTAGGGATAGGGTTTTGCCATGTTGCCCAGGCTGATCTTAAACTCTTGGCCTCAAGTGAGCTACCTGCCTTGCCCTACCAGGATGGAAGGGATTACAGGTGTGAGCCACCATGCCTGGCCCCGGCCAGTCCTTTGATGAGAAGAACAACAGCCGAAAACTGCAACAGCTTTGCCCAAAAGAAAAGCCATCGGGATTGGGAAACTTGTACAACACAGCACAAGCAAACCTCTGCAGCAGGCTTCAATGTGTTTAATACTTTCACAAAGTACGGAGGCAAAACCCATTTGACAGGTGAAAAAGCATCTCTATTGACTTTCTACAAGCCTTATGATATTCTAGGTGGATCGACACTTATCATAGCCCTTTAATCTGCCAGCCAGGATAATGTGTGCATGGATAATTTATCCACTGTGAGATTGAAACGCTCCATTTGGAATAACTTTCCCTACCCAGTAAATTGAGCATTACTCCAGGATTCTGAGACAGAAAGCACAATTTTAAAAGCTTTGCAGAGTTCCTTTGTAATTAGTCGCAGCTTTCCTTGAATATTAATTTCCCCCACATCCCTTTCAAGTGGTTTAGAGACTGTCTCTAGAACTACAGAGATGCACCCTCAGAACCATGACAGCAAGCGGCATGGTCTCAAACACCTATGATTAAGTAGTCTGCAGAACGCACCCTCTGTTCTTCGGTGCAGTGTGTAGCTTATCAGTGCAAACAGTTTAATATTTATGCTAAGAGGATTGTCAAAAGCAGCTTCTGTTGCTTTAATTCTTGTTTTAAATAAATAATGAGAACATTTAAACACATTACTCTTCTTGAGGCCCCGGGGTCAGCTAATCTTATTATTTATGAAGTGATGTGCTACATAATAGTACTTAGTGCATGTTAACAGACGCTATTATCAGGGCCTGATGCAGAGAGCCGAAGATATATTAGAATGTTACGTGTAATGTACGACGGATTGAGTGCATAGGATGCCGGTGTAGCAATTAACCACACGCGAAAATAGGTGTAAAGTTGAAGTATGTTTTCCCGGGGGGATCCCCTCACCATTAATAATTCCCCAGAGAAGAAGATGTCTTTCCGTTAGGAACCCTCTCTACCACCAGGCTTGGAAATGGGGCCAGGATATTCCATTCTTTGATCTCTCCATAGTCAGTCCTACACAGTCAGAAGACAAATAGTGAGCATGACTTTTTAGTTGATTTAGACAAAAATGCAGAGAAGGCGGGGGTGGAGGGAGGCACGTGTGCAATGTCCCAAATGTCCTCACAGTGTCTGGTTTTGGTCCACACATTTTCACTGCCACGTACTCCAGGAGAGTCGAGAAATCGTTCATTCCTTATTGCAATCTGTTTCCTTCTCTCTGATCCTCATTTTGCAGATAAATAAAGCTGAAGCCACTGAGTTTTCCCAGGTCACTTTTAAATAAGCCAATCTCTCTGAGAGATAGATGCCTGCCAAGGTGTGAGAACGTTGCCCCAATTTTTTTCCTGTGAGGCTATAATTTAGCTTCATATGATAATTAATTTCTCTACTATTGATGAATAATCCATTCAATAAAAACCGTGATTTAAGTGTTTTCCTTAGGGACTAACTCTTGCTAGCCTCTTAATTTAATTTTGTGGAAGTTTTTCCCACCTCTTCATCAGTGGAAATGATTATTAACCTCTATTTGCATATATCCTTATAAATCGGTGTCTCCTTGGAGTGCCTTTTTCTGAGCACAGCAAGCTGGGACACTTGTAAATCTCCAGGATCTCCAAAGTCAATCCCGGCCTGTAATATTGTTTAATCTATTCTTGGACGTTTTAATGCAGTAAATTCAATTTAATCTTTCCCAGTAATCTAGTAATACATCGAAATCCCACAAACATTTAAATCTGATAATGGCTTAATCACACACTTTAAATAACAGTTGAGATAATGAAAAAATAATTCACCATTTTAAAGGCAGAGTAACTGAATTTCCCCGATGATTGGCTTCTACACAGCCACCTGAGATGATACAAATCTGGGAGTCCAAACACAGGAAGCCCGGACCATCAGGAACAGCCTTCCTTCTTAGAAACACCTGCGTTCCGCCTGTAGCCTCATTCAGTCATCGCCATGACCTTCACCCCAGAGGACTGTCTTTGGAGCATTGGCCGGTGTTGCTCCAAGCTTCCTGTGGGTTGAGGTCTTCTGGGGGTTTCCTCCCATGGATTAATTTCCTATTGTTACTCTTCCAGGTGCCAGTCGCGAATTGCCCGAACTTTACCTGCTGATCAGAAGCCAGAATGTCGGCCATACTGGGAAAAGGATGACGTTTCGATGCCTCTGCCGTTTGATCTCACAGACATCGTTTCAGAACTCAGAGGTCAGCTTCTGGAAGCAAAACCCTAGAAGGAGCACAAGTGTCAGGCAGAGGAGAAAAAGAGATCGGCTCTTCTCCTCCAGTGTTGTCATGGGCTTAAGCAAGGGCAGCGGAGACTTCTCTTGGCCCCTAGATTGTAGCATCCGGGTCCCCATCCAAAACAGCTAGGAAATGGTGCCCATGAATTTTTAAATGTTTTAAAATGACCCTGTGCTATAGTCTGATATGGTGTGAAACAGGACCTTCTTCCCCCAAAATTGTTCAGATTTTAAAATGTGAGCCATTCAGCCCCCAAGGTCCAGGGCAGGCGACAGGAACAAGCCCAGCATGTGACAAAGCCTAACCTACTTTCCTCTTTCCCAAGCTTTTTCAGAGACTCTGGAGTGGACCCAGCCCTCTGGGGAAAGACAGAACTTAGAGACATCCCAGTTTCTCACCACACCCATAACTGCTGTCCAATATGGTAGCCCCTAGCTAGCTGTGGCTACTTCAATTTAAATTCAGTTTTAATTTTAATATAAAATGCAGCTCTTCAGTTGCCCTGGCCACATTTCAAGTGCTTAATAGCCTCATGTGACTAGTGACTGCTGTATGGACGGTACAGATATGGAACATTTTCATCATCGAAGAAAGTCCTATTGGACAACGCTTCTATAAAAAGTTTGAGAGCAGGAATTCTCATTTCCATTCCTCTGTAGCCTCTATCCCCAAAGGCAAAGAAACTAAAAGAGAAGTGACTCATTGAAGACTGGCCTCTTTCCTTTCTCTAAGACGAACCTAAATAAAAGCCCGAGCTTTGAGTTCTATGCTCAGCGCACAGGAAGGAGATGTTAACAATTAAAATAAAGTTGATATCCTGTCTTTAGGGAGTTTTGCTGATCTCTTGAAAGAGACACAGCCCTATTTACATCATTCCGCAGATTTCACCAGCATAGTATAATTTTTTCTGTAAGTCCCTCATTCTTATGTAATAACAAGTGGAACTGAGGTTTGAAGAACCTCAGTGGCCCATCCTGATGACATTGGAGACTCAGAGAGACAAGAGAGAGTAGGGTTTAAAACCTGAGCTTTAAGACTCCCACTAGCTTTGTGTCCTTTGGTATTAACGTGCCTCAGTTTCCTCATCTGTATAATGGGGATATATGAAAGGCACCACTCCCAAGGTGAACATTAAGTGAGATGATTCTAGTTACAGACTTAGAACAATTTCCAGCACATAGTCAAATATCCAGGAAATTCTAGTACTGTTATGTGCGGGTGAACTGACCTGGATGTAGATGCTTTCATCTCTCTTTCTGACCCCTCCGCCAGTTTTGTCTTGTGATGCCGTTAACACATCTCTCCCTTTCCGACCTGGCTCCTGCCCACTGATGTCCCAAGAAATCGTGAGAATAGTTAGCCCCCCTCTCCCCAGCCTGTTGCCCTCTCGTGGAGGTGTTCACAGTAGTTGAGAAGTTGAAGAGCTTTTGCCCGTTGAAGGTGCACTGAGAATAAACTCTTTCCTGCCACCAGAATTGCAGCGGTTCACGGCCTGCACTCATTCCCATGCAGTTAATAGACACAGAAATGTCTTGTTAAGCAAAGTGGCCAGGGTCTCATCATGTTGAGACTCGAGTCTCTCAGACCTTGGATTCATCCCCTGGTGTCTTTGAGCCTCGGTTTCCGCATTGGTAAAAGAGAAGTGAAGCACTGTCTCACAGGGTCATCGCAGAGATTAAATGAATAACGTAGACCAGGAGGGCGTGGCATTTAAAAGTCACAGATGGGGCACCCTCGGGCCTTCCAGCCCAGTGTTTTCTTTAGCCCCTATGATGTTCATTTTTTGTTATATTCCATTAGGTGCCAATATTTTTAAAATGGGAGATTTCACATAAAATTAAAAGGTCTGCTTTTTCTTTTTTTTTTTTTTTTTTTTTTTTTTTTTTTTGAGACGGAGTCTTACTCTGTCACCAGGCTGGAGCGCAGTAGCACGATCTCAGCTCACTGCAACCTCCGCCTCCCAGGTTCAAGTGATTCTCCTGACTCAGCCTCGCGAGTAACTGGGGCTACAGGCACGTGCCACCATGCCCAGCTAATTTTTGTATTTTTAGTAGAGATGGGGTTTCACCATGTCGGCCAGGATGGTCTCTATCTCAACCTCGTGATCCACCCACCTCGGCCTCCCAAAGTGCTGGGATTACAGGCGTGAACCACCGCACCCAGCCAAGGTCTACATTTTCTTTAGAACTCAGAACACCCAGTAGTCCTAGGCCCCCATCCTCGCATGGCAACAAGCTAAATAGCATCTTCCCACTGCGAGTTGGGGCATGACCCAGCCTATGGTTTGCTATACTCCCTCTTTTTCTCCATTTTATCATTAATTGTGAACCTGACCCGTGTCACCTCTTCATGTTAGCGCTCTCCAAACCTGCTTGCTTGCACCCCTCTAGTCAAAATGTTTTGTGCTCACCCCAATATATGTGTGACTATTGAACTCTATTTGTAGACTGCTTGTACTAATGTCATGTGCATCATAAAATATTCATATCCAATAAAAATATTAAAAGGATGAGATAAGAAACCAAGAGAGGTTCTGCTGTTTTTTCCTTTTGCATGGATGAGCCAGCTTCACTGGCCTGGGTGGGGCCCAGATGGAATTAGTTCTCAAAGTCCTCCAGGTGGAGTCAGGGGATGTGCAGCAGGGTTGGAGAAATCACTACCTTAAGTGAATCCGAGAGGTGATATCACATTTGCTCTAAAGAAATGGTGATCCCAGCACTTTGGGAGGCTGAGGCGGCAGATCATTGGAGGTCAGGAGTTGAAGACCAGCCTGGCCAACACGCTGAAAGCCCATCTCTACTAAAAACACAAAAATCAGCTGGGTGTGGTGGTGTGTGCCTGTAATCCCAGCTACTTGGGAGGCTGAGGCAGGCAAGTCGCTTGGCCTGGGAAGCAGAGGTTGCAGTGAGCTAAGATCATGCCACTGCACTTCAGCCTGGGCCACGGAGCAAGAGAAAAAGAAATGGTGAGTTTCACTGAGCATGTGTTTGCGGATTTCAGGGAGGTTTCAGGTGGGTAGAAGGAGGTAGGCAAGATCCAATAAAAAGGCGGCTGGTGCGGACAATGACAATGAACTCGTATCCTGCAGGGTCAAGGGGAGGCTTGCTTCTGCCCTATGAATTGGAGAAGGACTTTCCTGGAAGCACAGGCTCAGAAATCGCACCCTTCCCCCCATGTGTGCGGATAACAGACCACCTCCATCAGCAGCAGCCCCCTCCTGCTTTCCTGCCAGTCCTCCCTCTAGTCCCAGCTATCTTGAGAAAAGTGATCTAAGAGATCTCTTTGCACTGAGGTGCTACTGACTGCCCTGCCTCCCTCCCTTCCTCCCGCAAACCCTTCTTGGTGCTGACCACAGCCTCAGCAATGGGGCAGGCCTGGGGACCCAAGACAGATCTCTGCCTCCCAGGCTAGTGGATGCCCTGGGATATGTAGTGACCAAAACAAGAACTTACCCCATAGTGGGGAAATAGACAGTAACCAGCAAACCAATAACAAGAGTGTCCAGGTGGTTGTAAGTGCCAGGAAGGGAACCAACTGGGAGAGGGACAGGAGGAGATGGTGACTGACCAAGGGAACCTCAATCAGGCTGTGGGGAAGGAAGGTGGTCGGGAAGAGCTTCCCAGGAAAGGGGACGGCGGGCCCAGGCAGGAGAGCCCTGGGAGGGGTGCCCAAGGAAGGAAAAGGGCCCTGAGCCCAAAGCCAAGAAGACCAGGAGGGGAGAAGGGGAGATGTAGGGCAGAGCAGGCGGGAGCCGCTCGGGTTTTATTCCACACACCCCAGGAAGCATGAAAGGGTTTCAAGCAGCAAGGACGTGGAAGTAACTTGGTGAGATATTTTCATGCTTTAGACCATCGCTCTATCTGGATTCCAGAGGGTCTCTGAGAGAGCAAACGGCTCAATCCAAAGGAGCGGCTTTCCAACTGGGGATGTCCCGCTGGCTGGGTGAGATCTCAAGATGGCCTGCGGCCCCTCTAGGTTGCCCACCTGCTGAGTTCACTCTAAGCAGCACGTCCTCTCCGCACCCCTGCAGATCCATTCCTGCCGCCCTCACTGGCAGGCTCCAGCCCCTCAGAGCTTTCTAGACATGACAGAGCCGGGTCATGGCATCATTGGTGACACAATTTTAGTAATCAGCTTCAAAATCCATCACTCACTGAATCGAGGGATGCCGGAATTGAGAGTCCATAGGCCCTGTTTAATGGACCCCACGTTTAGTAGACAGTTTTTTGTATGCTTCGAGGGAAGGAAGGTATTTTCAAATGCAACTTCTTTTTTTGTTGTTGTTGCTCTAGTTAGGGCTGATTTTACCACTGGGCAAATTGCATACATTTGGATCCATGCCACGCTAAATACTGTTTATTTTGGAGATCTGTCAGAGGCAAGCGCATGGAAGACAAGGGGGTTCTGGTTTGAAAAGGCAATTCTCATCCAGACAGATTCAGATGGAGAGGCACGGTGCGGATTAAAATGCGCCGAAGTGGTAATGCCGTTTATCCCGTTTGCCTTTGTTACTCTGTGATTAAATGGTATTTTTAATTAAGTTTCATTGGGAGCCATAGGTATCACGGTGGTGAAATCAATTTGACAACCATAAAGGGGAGAGAAGGCACAGGCGTGTTGTGATGATTGCGGCTGTAGGGAAAGCGGGCAGCTTGCAGAGGATGGGTGGGAGGAGGGGAGCCGGCTAAGAATGACTTCCCACAAGGCAGCAAGGGCACCCCTGGGCCGCTGCTGTGTTTGGGAGGCAGGTTTTGGGGATTGTCAGAAGGCATTCACCTGGTTCTCTCGTTCACCTGAGACACCCAATAGATTCCTGGAAACTCCAGGAAAGTATCCGAAGTTCTGTTTCTCCATTGTCTCTTATTAACAAGGAGAACCACGAGTGCCCCCCAGATCCTGGCTAGAAGGACCAGACAGCTTTCTACCCTGGTTCCCGGGCAGCTCTGCTCCCATAGTCCTGTGTCCCAACGGCCCCATGCTCCCAGGACGGTCCTAATTCCCACCTCTGGGAACCTTGTCAGCCAAGTCCTTCCTGCTCTCTGGTCCAAATCCTCCTCCTACATTGGAAACTGAGCGTTTCTGCACCCTCCGCTCTTTCTATCCCACTGTCATTCATCAGACTTTCCAAATCTTTGGATTCCTGAGTGGCAGAAGAGGTTTCCTGAGTTTAAGTCCTGGTTCTGTGTGTGATCCTCACTCTACCACCTCTTCAAACCTTTGTTCTCTTGTCTACAAAATAGAATAGTAGTAATCCATCACCTAAGGTTGCTGTGAAGGTTCAATAAGTTAATGTGCATTTAAAATGCCTCCTGCAGTACCTGGCATATACAGGTCTTCAGTGAGGTACTAGCTATCATTATTAACGAAGTTTCCTGTGATAACAGTTGTCGCCTTGTGACTGGGGCAAATCACTAAACCCCTCTGTGCTCCAGGCTTTGTTTATATAATGCGGATGATGATAATGCCTAGCTCACTGGATTGTTCTGTCCCCTGCGACCATCCATATTAAGCGATTCATATCATGTCTGGTACTCAAAACTCACTCCACGCATGTACATTATGATGATGAAAAATATGATCTGTGGTATCCTGACCAAAATATTCAAGGGACTAAAGATAGCTGTGGCTTGTTCAAGAAGAATATTGTGTCACTATCCCATATATTATCCCATTTGCTCTTCACAGCTTCCATTTTTCGCTAGGCGGATGGCATGGAACTTTTTATAAATGAGATATTATGAAAAATGATGTTTTAGTACTCCCATTTCTACAGTGGGAGTAGGTCACCCATTGCAATTTTAGATTTGCTTAAAAAAAAATTCTTGCCATCACCTTCTAATGGATGATCTGTGTACAACAATTGTTTATTGACTCTGAATGTCTAAGTACCAGGGTCAGTCTATTTCAAGGGGAGGGAAGCATTAATTAACCTCCAGCATTAGATTCAGTGATTCTTTTCCAATGATGCAGTTCATGACTTTGCTCGCATTTACTTTTCATCAATCCTGAAAGAATTGAGGTAAAATAGTTCCTCTGCACATGTGTGTCAAGCTAAATGGATAACAGCAGATACAGATCTGTTTGCCTGTCTGCACTTGCCTTTAGACAAAATTCATCAATTTTACAAAAGCCACTGACTAAACATGGCACCAATACAAATGAAGCACTTCTAGCAGGCGGGGTTTCCCTTTGTTTCTGATCTGGTAAATGCAGTAGTTTCCTGCTGAGCCATGGGAAGTACTGGTCTAGGACAGCAAGGTGCCCTACAGGTGGGGCCAAAAGGGTCAAGACCATTCTACAGGAAGTTTAGGAGAAGTTCAGTGGTTCCAGATCCTGTGTGCTTCGGGTAGATCTGACCCTCTTCATTAGTGATAATGGCATGAAGCTCTTTTGCAGTCTTTTTTTTTTTTTTTTTTTTTTTTTCCAGACAGGGTCTCACTCTGTTACCTAGGCTAGAGTGTGGTGGTGAGATCATGGCTCACTGCAGCCTCGGCTTCATGAGCTCAACCATCCTCCTGCCTCAGCCTCCTAAGTAGTCGAGATCACAGGCACTTGCCACCACACCCGGCTAATTTTTTGTAGAGATGGGGTTTCACCACATTGCCCAGGCTGGTCTCAAACTCCTAGGCTCAAATGATCTGCCTGCATCGGCCTCCCAAAGCCCTGAGATTACAAGCGTGAGGCACTATGCCTGGCCCTCCACACAGCCTTGCTTGGTGTTAAAGATTAAACAAAGACCACAGGTGATCACTCTCTTTGTGGTGCCAGTTTCAAGGGCACCCTTCTTCCCTTCCCAGCCTCCGAGAGAAGGAGAGAGGGTCCACAAGCCAGATTCATCCCCACAGGTAAAACCACGACTGTGCAGCTAGCAGGTGGAGATAACATTTGGAGAAGCGCTTATAAATGCTAAAGTCCTACTCAAGTCCAAAGGAGAGGAATTATTATTATTCATTTTGTGAAACCAATTTAGTTTGGGTGGATAATGGAAGAATTTCTACACACATTCATTACTTCTGATCAGGCAAGACCAGTCTGACACAGGAACGGTATGTGGCTCACTCTTAAAGCCACGGCAGGCAGCCAGGGCTTGGAGAAATAGAAACCTCCCTTGCACAAGAATAGTCTCAATGAATCATGTTAAGGCCTCTTTTAAGTTTTTCAGACTCCATGCGCCCTGTGAAAACTGCTTTCCTGAGTAGAGGTACGTTCAGCACTTCATAAAACAATCCTGGAGCCTCCAGACACACGGATAGAGGAGCATGATTGCGTTTGTTTCTTTGCAAAATTGCTGTCCCCAACTGAAAAACCTGATTATCCTTTCAAAGAGGGAATTTGGCTTTCCACGTTGATACCAGCACAGTTAACCTTCAAACCCCCAAGGCCTGCAAGAGATGAATCAGTTTCTCAGAGCAGCCAAAGCTGTGGCTTATAACTCTTGCAACCCAGAAAACTGGATCACTGGTCACCGTCCTTCCCCCTGCCCCCAACTCTGCAGACAGAGGTTTCTAGTTGATTATGCCTTGAT